AAGATCCGATCTACGTAAGCTTGAGCTCAAATTCGAGTATGTAACTTCTGATAATTTATATGTTTCTTGATTTTTTTTGTTAATAATGTACATTAATTTATGTTCTTTGATTTCCTTTCTCTATCACAAAGTACTAACCTCCCTCATTTTAATAGATAATGTTTCAAAAAAAAAAAATTCGGGGGCACTGCCCCGAAACCTCCGTGAGCCCCCACCCCTTCAACTCTCGGACCCCCTTACTTTGATGAGCTGGCTTCGCCCCTGGGCCCCGCAATTTAAAAAGTCATGGGCTCCACACACTTTTATGAAAAGAGTGTCAAAGTTAATGTACACAAAAGTGTACAAATGGCTTTTTCCTTGATTATAATATGTGAATTCTAGGTTTTTGTTTATAACATGTGAATTCTAGGTTTTATATAGTTATGGTGTAAGTTGAGTCGCAAGGTCAACATTTAAGTAAACCATAACTAGACAAACCGAATATATGTGAGTCTTGGTTAGTGGCATTTAGGCAAGACACACGTCAATATAATTTTCTAATTTTTGGCTTATGTTTAACCTTTTTTAATCTTTTTTCCTTTATGGAATAAAATATATGTCATTTGATTGTTTACCGGCAGAAGTGCTGTAAGTGACTGTTTCTGTCCAATAAAGACCTAAATGTACCTAAATTGAAAGTTTGGGACTTCGACTGCTAATTAAATTTAACTTCCAACCGGGATACGGCCACCAACAGGTTTAACCCACAATTAGCTGAACCGTTCGTGACTCTGTACTTGGTCACTCTCTCGTGCCCGGCTACACAACGCAAAACCCATCCCCGAAGACCAGACCAGACCAGAGCTGGCATCTCAAGCTTCCAGGTTGGTTTTATTCATTATTATTTCGATTAATCATAATTTTTGTTGGGAATAAACTGTAAACGGAAAATTTGAAATTAGAATGCCGAAAATCAAATTAAAATTGAATGTAATTTTGTTCCTGATTAGAAAATCCAAAACCTTTATTTGGTTTAGTTAATTTTCGCTTTCTTCCCTTTAAATATGCTAATTTTTACCAGATTGTAACATAGTTCCATGTAATTTTTAAGTCTGTAATTTGGATTAGTTAATTTTAGCTTTCGTCCCTTTAAATATGCTAATTTTTACCAGATTGTATCATCGTTCCATGGTATTTTTAAGGCTGTAAGAAGATCTGTTTTCTAATTTCTGTGATCATATTGCGCATGTAAACCTGTTTAGAGATGGAACGATCGTATCGAGAAGAACCTGTAGATCTTGAAGCTTCATTGCTTCAAATGATCAATGATCACAACCATACTTCTGCCATACTACGCGAACGCACCGGTCAGTTATATTCAACCGAATTGGTGCTTGGAATGTGGGATTGTTAATTTTGGGATTTTATGAAGGCATTGAGTTCAATCATATTTCGTGATGTTTTGTTTGTAACAAAATTAGATAAAGCAAAGAAAAAAGCAATTCAGACTGCAGTGCGCGTTTCAGATCTGTTGGTGAATTCAGTGAATGAGGGTGTGCAACAGGTCTTCATAAACGAGAAGCGAATTGAAATGGAAATTCGAGCTTTAGCTGCAACTATTATGCAATTTACGAAGCAGACCGATCAGTGGCTCACAGCTTCCCATGCTATTAACACTGCCGTTAAGGTTTATACACTCAGTCTTTGAATGATAACAATACTGTTTTTCGCCTCCTTCCATTGTAGTTTAGTACACGGAACTGTGATGGTTTTATATGCAACTGCAGCTTATAGGATATTCTGTATTTGCTTATTACTAAATTGTTCACATCATAAGTGAAAATGACAATGGTTTGACCTAAACAGCTTGAGGAAATGAGTTCATGAGATTAAATTTTCAGGCCATTGTTCTGGATCTTGGATTCAGTATGTAGAGGTAGAACTATGGGAAGAACGATTCTTTCTTATTCTCCTTTTGCATTCTAAATATATAAGGCATTTATTCAAAATTACATGACTTATATACCAAGATGAAAGATACTTCTTAGCATATATCCATACAGATATGACTTGCAAGAACTAGAAGGCATTTATGAAAACTTTATTTTCATTCATCAGCTTTGTTTAGGAAGTTAGATTAACATGTTGATATAGTTAAATATGTGATTTTATTCATGAATGTAGTTATTAGAAACAGATTAAGGATGCAACTTATTTATGACATTTAAAATTGAATTTAAAGAGAGTGATAGCATTTGAGATTGAGAGGGAAATTTAGAAATTGTGATGCGCTTCAGTTTCTATAATTTTACTAGGCTACATCTCATGTGATGCTCACTTTTCAGGAAAGAGTTTCACGCCTGTTGCTGGGAACAAGAAATGTCAGCTAAAAATAAAAACATATTTTTTGCTCTATTTTATTGGCCCCTGGCTTTTCAAACAACCAACTATAATCTATGGAATACAGCACATTATGTCTGGGATATTTCATTTTGATTTTGTCATTTTTTTGTAATCATGGTGATGTCTTCTCTAGAAATACATACTTAATTGATAAATGAGGGACAATTAAATGCTAAGGAATCTTTGATTTAAAATGGAAAATCAAATTACTATAATCAGTTATCTGACTATCACCAGTTCTAGCTTAGAAAAAGTTAGGATATCTTTCAGTTGGAATTTTTACCGTAAATTGGATTACAACTTGAACATTTTTTTACTCTAGGATTTGTAGTCGAATGAGACATAGGACAAGATTCTTATTCCTGAGATTTTATGGACTCTATGTACAGGAAATTGGAGATTTCGAGAATTGGATGAAGATAATGGAACTTGATTGTAAACGCATTAGTGCTGCAATCTGCAACATTCACCAAGAATGAAATGACGAGGCCAACTTTCAATTCCTGTCTTTTGCACAATTCTTGTCCTTCCCAGCGTACGTGTTTTGTCTCATGGGGCACTTCTTTTTATGTCTTGTGATTGATTGAGTAGCACATCTAAAAGTCTTCTTCTCTGCTTTATGGCATGTCCTCTACCTTATTTATAGGGACTTTTTTAATGCTCCACACTTGTTTGTACTGATTTATTTGTGTGCACTGGCCTTGTATATTTGATGGCTGCCATCCTCCAGCCTCCTTCCAGTTCAGTGCATGTTTCGGTTATCTGTGTTGACAGTATAGTTGTCTAAGTTGCCTGTACTAACTGAAAATTGCCCTCACTCATCGCTAGGCAAACACTAAGGCTACTGGGCTGATACTTATGGAATTTGAAAAAAAAAAGGAAAAAAAAAAAAAACTTAATTGTACGTTACTATCGTGATATTAATCTTAGTAGGCATGTGTGAGTTGAATCAACTGGCTCATTCTTTATCTGGTTTGAGACTGAAAGATGCAACTCGAGAAGTTTCTATGAACTTAATCCTATGAAGCTGCTGTTTCTGAATTAGAATATCAATCCGATCAAAAGAATAGGGTGACTGTTGTTTCTGTAGACTAACCTTCCACAGAAAATATAAGATCTGTGCATGCTATAGGCCATTAATAGCGTCAAACTGGAATGTGGAGGATATGAGTTTATTGCTGATGGCAAGTGGAAAAATCAACGTACAAAAGATGGTATAATCTAGACTCTAACCATGGAACTGATAGGTCTATATTTCCCATGAGTGCTAAGGTTTTA